AAAATGAACATTTTATTTATTTGTCCAATTACATTTGAGCCCCTGAAGATGGGGGGGACTGTGTATAAAAATGGTTGTAATTCTTAAGCATTTTATGTTATATTTTTTTCAACTCCTTGAATTAAAGCTTAAAGTCTGCACTTCAATTTCATCTTGATTGTTTAATTTTAATTCTAATCTGGTGGCATACAGAGCCGAAATTATGAAAATCGTGTCAGTGTCCAAATTAGATTATGTGGACAGTACCTTACTTACATGTGCAATATATTTCATATGTTTTTTGTCTTGTTGATAGGTGGCTTATATTTTTGTTTATTGGAGTTAATATGTGAATATGAATGTTTAGTTAACAATAATAACCCTGGTCTGCCTAGCAACTACTCCGATGAACGTTATGAATTCTCTGTGATAAATTAAGTGAATGGTTTATGGCCCAAATACTCGTTGCTCAAACAGGGTTAATGATTTGTGACAGCAACAAAAGGTTTCTCAGAAACTGAGTGGAATATTCACTTCTGCTCAGGGTTTTTATTCTTAACGAAAGCTAAAAAAAATGTTTTTTGTTAAAATATATTAAAAAAAATGTGAAATAAATATTAAATGAGAAATATAAACAAATTAGAATTAGTTTTCATTTTAAGTGCTTTTGTGATTTTTATTATTTTTTTAATATTTCTGTTTAATTTAATTTTCATTATTATTATTTTTGTTTTATTTAAGTACTTCAGTTTAAACTTATTTCGTTTCAGTTCGTTGCCAGTGCAACAGGTTTAAGTTTTTCATGCAAGTTGTTCTTGTAATATTAGTTTGTCATTTTTATTCGTTTTAGTTTTTTTCTTAATGTCTATATTTTTTTATTATTTTAATTTTATTTTTAGTTATTTCAGTACATCAAGCTAAATTAGATGAAAATGAGAAATGTTGCCTTGGCAACTATCTGAACAAAAAAGTAAATATTTTATTTAATATTAATGTTTTATTTTTATATTAATATTATAATATATATATATATATTTATGGTTTTAATTTTAGTTACTTTAATAATCCTGCTAACTGGAAAAAGTTAAGTACATTACTAAAACTGAAATAAATACATAAAAAAATACAAGCTATAAAATCTTTAAAAATAGATGAACAGAAATAGGTAAAAACGCAGAAAGCACTTAACAGAATGACTAAAATTAAAACTGAAAAATTAAAAAAGAAATTAGTAAATATATCAATGAATATTATGGTAACACTTTACAATAAGGTTCATAAGTTAACATTAGTTAACTACATTAGTTAACATGAAGTAAGAAAGGCATTTATTAATCTTAGTTAATATTAATTTCAGTGAACTAACATGAACGACTGTATTTTTATTAACTAACATTAACAAATATGAATAAATACTGTAATAAATGTATTGTTCGTTTATGTTAGTTAATACATTAATTAGTGTTAGCAAATGACACCTTATTGTAAAGTGTTACCAATATTATGAATAGAATATAATTTACTTGCATCGAAGTCCCATTTTTGTATCCAGACGGATTATTTTGGACATTTTTTGGAAGGGGTTTCTATTTGAATGCAAGGAAATCCGTTGCGAATAATTCTCTCGTACCGTACAGGAATCTGAGAGAGAGACGATGTTTGTGATGCTGGCATGTGTTTGTGCTGCAGGTCAGGAGGTCGTCTTCAAGAGCCTCGGGGAGGGAATACTGGAAAACGCCTTTCAAGGATACAACGCCTGCATCTTTGCCTACGGACAGACAGGTGCGGTTATAGTGTGCTCTTTTGTGACAGGGACATCCGTTTGACTGAAAGGCCTCAATAGATGCTCACTCTGTCACAAGAGCACCGGTAATTACTCTAAACAGACCTGCAAGATGATAACAAGCACACTAACATATCGAGTTCACACTAGGAATTTCCTCTCTTTAACCTGGATTTACAGCAGACATGAGTCTCACTAAAACACGTCCAATCACGTTTCACCGCAAGAACATGAAGTTATATTTTGCGTGAAAAAAAAAGACATCCAAACATTACGATGTTTTATGACCATTAATGCATATTTGTCCCCTCAAATTCTCATTGGTGAGATTTGTGCAGATGCGTTTTGTTGTTATTCTCAATGAGAATTCTTCCTAGACAAGTAAAAAAAAAAGGAAAAAAAAGTCATCGTAAAATCATAAAACCAGATTAAACCAGTTTTTTTTGTTTGGGTTATGGAAGAGGGTTGACACAACAGGTTAGTTTTATACAAAACAGTTTATTTGGTCACAGTGAGTACTGGTGTTGAGTCCGGAGGAAGCGAGGGTGAGGGAAAGGTCCGTGAGAGAGTGCAGAGGATATGGAGAGTGGAGTAATCCGAGTCTTTTGCTTGATTGAGGCTGGAAGGTATCCGGGGGAAGCACACACCTCAGCGATCAGGGAACTAGGAGATACAGGAGACACTTGGAGATGAGGCGACACTAGGAGGAACACAGGGGGTAAGTAATGCAAGAAGTATTCAAAGGTAATCAGTAGCAAAGTCATTGAGTCCTCTACGTGTATACAAGACCAGACAGTGAGGGTGTCTGAGGTGTGTGCTTTTATGCAGGCTGTTAATGAGGTGCTTGATTGGTGACAGGTGCGGGTGCTCAAAACTCAGGTGAGAGGGATCGTTGTGATTGGGTGGTGGCGGAGCCTGGCCGATCTGTTACAGTACCCCCCCTCCACGGCCGAGGGTGTTGTTGGCCCCTGGATGGCCAGTGCCTCGGGAGGAGTGAGCAGAGTGAATGAGTGGGGTGCGCTGTGTCCGTGGTACGTAGTGACATCCTGGAGGACAGCCCGACGGATTGTTAGGAGCTGTGTTGGAGGCCACTGGAGGGGAATTCCATTTGATTGGACTGACGATTATCTTAGGTGGGATGATGCTTTCCGGTTCTTCGGGGCCTTCTATGTGACTGTGAATACACGACAAGGCGTCTGCCTTGACGTTTCTGGGACCAGGGCGGTAAGAAATGGTAAAATTGAACCTCGTAAAGAATAATGCCCATTGGGCCTGGCGGGGATTTAACCGTTTTGCCTCACGAAGGTATTGGAGGTTCTTGTGGTCGGTCAGTACGGGAAATGGTTGGGCTGTCCCCGCCAGCCAATGCCTCCACTCCTCTAGGGCCAGCTTGATGGCAAGGAGTTCTCTGTTGCCGATGTCATAGTTAATTTCCGCCGGGCTGAGCTTCCGTGAGTAGAAGGCACATGGGTGGAGTCTGGCTGGGTTCCCCTGCTGTT